GACGCAGGCGGCGGGGGGACAGGCGGCAGCGCACCTTCAGGCCAGGGTTAGCGATGAGGCGGGTGTTGTCGCTGAGGTAGGCGGTGTAGTGCTCCACCATCCGCTTGGTCTCGGGTTGGCTCAGGTGCTCGTAAGGAGAGGAGAAGCTGCCTGCAGAGAGCATGACCGTGGGGCTTTCTAAAAATGAACGAAACAGGAGGAAATTAAGAGGACAATGAACTGCACAGACTCTGACCATGAGCGGGGAGCTGACGTGGAGGCCCACATGGGAGTGCGGCCAGCGGACAGAATCGCAGGGATGCGCCGGCTTCTCCGCTATTCCGGTTTCGGCACGGAAAGTGGAAAGGGCCCCCCTGCTTCAGGTGCAAGTGAGCTGCACGTGAGGGGACGTGAGGGTTGGGACCACCAGGCTTTGCTACTTCCCATACGTAGTTAACACAGTTTGGGGTTTCTAGTGATAGCCATAATTCAAGCAATTTTTTTGAATGACCACCTTCAGAAAAGAAGGTTTCACGATAAAGAAGAAATTAATGATCTGGTTTACATTGGTTAAGGAAAACACAGAAGAGCAGAAAAAGATCCATGACGATGATGCAGAGCTGAAGGCTAAGAATGACTTTTCTTGAATATTTTAAATACAACGTAAATTTGGATTTCTTGTCAAAAAGACCAGATTTCTCAGGGGTGCAAGGGTCTCCAGAGGAAAAAATCCTACCAGACTAAGTGAAGTTGTCTCCCTTTATTCATATTCCTCTACAACCCATCACCATACATCAAGCAACCATATCTACAGCAGTCACTTATTTGAGTCTTTCATCTGCTTAGCAGAGCAAATATTGTGACTGCATTTTCTCTTGCATGAAGCTTTTCCATTTCTCATCTTAGCACTGTGTTGTTGAGATATTTTCCATTTTTCAGCTTGCATTTTTGGATATAAGACAACCAAAACTAGGCACTACATTTAAACAAAATCTCTTGTGTTTTAAACAACTGGCAAAGCAGTTTCCATAGGACTATCAAGCTCCTCCACAACTCCTCAGTCTAATCTCACTTAATTATTTGCAGCAGTGCCATGTAGCAAGACAGTTATCACTATTCTATAATCTGCTATCAGACCTTCAAACTTTGCCAAAACCAATAGTTAATTCAGAACTTTCTATAATATAACATAAATTTTAAAGAACCAAAAATTGAATAATTATTGTGAAAGCTTGCAACTTATGATGTGTTGGATGTGTTCCCTTCACTAACATATTCTTAGGATATGTTACATTTCTGAAAAGATTTTGGAAACTCCCTGTCCTTTCCAGACATTAAAGCTTTTACTGACATGTTGACCCTGCCTCTTTCACAAGTGCTTGAACAACTGCTGAAATTAGTAAGGTGGAAGAGAATCACTGTAGCTGTCAACAGCAGAAGCCTGCCTTTCTGAAACGTGTCAGTGACCTGCGAACCTTCTGCAGGTACAGAAGATCTGGAAACTCTGCACATTAAAGTTCAGAGTTTCCCCTCAAAGACTGAACTTTTGACTTTCAAGTGTCAAAATCGATGGCATTAAATCCTTATGGCAGTGAAAAATCTGCATAGATCCCAAGTCAGCAGAACAGCAGTGCGGTCTGCCCGTCCACCACGCTCAAGCCATTTGCCAATAAGCTGCTTCACAGCCAAGAGGAGCGACTCGCAGGCCACGGGGGACATCTCTCCCCATCCTGTTGCTGGAACTAGATCGAGCGAGACCCACAGGTCAGTTCTCTCCCACCCTGAGGATGAGCTCTGCTGCGTTCGCTGCCCAAGTGCTCAGCAGCTTCGCGAGGATCGAGCAGGGCTGCACAAAGGCAACATGAATTAGAAAACCTGCCTCGCAGGAAAGCTCCTCAAGAGGAGGGCATTTCCACTGCTCTGTGGGAAGAGTTCTTCCTCTGGCCACCCGCACAGGGCACGGATGAAGCGCAGGAAGGCGTTACCTAAGGTTGCCAGCTGCTTGAAGTGCAGGCAGGCATTCGGCTGGCCCAGCAGATCCAAGCGGTGATACAGGAGCTTGCTGCTGGGGATGGTGTTGAGATTCTTAAGCTGTTTGACGGGTATTTCTGGCTGTATCACCACAACACACAGAATAAAGGACGTGTCTTGGACCTGAAAAACACAGCAAATCATCAAGCAAACAGAAGCATGTAGGTTTTATAGCATTTGTTTTCTATTTAGCCCTTATTATGTTTTCTTGAAACGCTCACGCCATCCTGTTTGGGAAGGTGGCAACCTGCTTAGCCTTACTCTCCAGGACCACAATCCCACTCTCTTTGACAACAGACAACTCCCATTCCAGGATTTAACAAGGATTTGATCGTGAAGCAAAGAACCAGGCAGACAAAACATTCAGACCACACTGGTCTCTGTGCAAGACTGTTATTTCTATTACTGATAAGGAGAAAAAGACACAACTCTTCCAGTAGGTAATAGAGCCTGCAGCATATACATCCTCCTCAGTTCCAATAATGCAAACTTAACAAAATAACAGCATTCATGCTCCCGTGTAATCCAAACTTTTCATACTTCAGTGTGAGCAATGCTTCATACCTCACTATATTCAATATATTAATATACTCTGTAATAATTTAACTTTATGCAACCATGCACCTGTTTCCTTTCAGGGACTTACCATCTTCCAGGCATAGCTGACATTGTAGGCTTCTTTTCCAACTTCTCTCAGCTTGTTTACATGCCAAGACAGCGAGGAGTTCACAGGGACCGTAATGATCTGACTGCCCAGGGGGATGCTGTATTGGTAAAAACAAGAGCCAGCATTTTGTTAAACACTGCAAAAGCTCTTCAACAAAACTCATCTACTGCACTTCCATAAAGCCATCATAAGAGACAAGGGGTTGAATGTTATATTCCTTTAGTGAAGAAAAGATTGCCCGCGTTTCCTGAAAATACCTGCATATTTTCCTGCAAGTATATGCAATGAAGCATATTTTGAGTAAAACCTGATTTTCTCAACTGCAAAATGAATTTAAAAAAATATCTTAAGCCTTAAAAATCTTCTATTCTGCACCGTCATACAGGACACGATCTTATCATTTTCTGATACATTATGAATACAGGAATGGTACTCATTTCCTATCAATTTAAATACAGGATAAGAAGCAGCAGGTAGACTTTAAATTATACCTAATAATAGCAAGGCTTAAACATGCAGAACTGTTCATGCATATCATAGTGCACCTTTGCCTATTCTAACGTTGCTTTCAGACCAGAAATGTTCAAAGCTTAAAAAAGACACCCAGATCCAACTAGAAAAAAAAGGTAGACAGAAGGAAGGACATAACCTAAGGTACAAATATTCTGGCATGCTGCAGAATGCTGCGAAAAAATGAGTGCAAAGGAATTAACAGGAGTTAATTATCTTAAATAACAGTTCAATTGTTGGCACTTCAACACTAAAATGATTTCTGAAATTTGGAGAACACAGAGAAGAACATCAAAATCACTAGAGGGAAAGGAGAAAAGCAAAGAGAAAGATCAGATGGGAACCAGCCAGCCTTATGATTATGATCTTACAATGTTAAGCAGCCATAATAACTATCTACCAACAGCTAAAATAGTTGATCTTCCAACAGAGAGAAAAGGTATCAGGAGTGAAACTGGAATTACTGGATAGGAAGAAAAACCCAGACCAAATATTTGGAAAATCTTCCTGATTTGCGGGGTTATAAAGATTCTCCCCCTACGTGGGTTGTGGAAACCACTGCTTAGCACATCAGAGACAATGAAGAAAGCTGGAGGAAAAATAAAAACAGAATTGTTCTGCATTAGCAAAAGAAGATGGGTCCTCAATTCCATCTGAGCATCCAGACGTAGCAAGAAAAGCAACTTTCAGTGATAACAATGAGGAATCTACACCATATATTCTCTTAAACTCCCCTCTGAGAATCCTTCCAGTGCTCTTAGGGCTGCTAGCGTGTGGATTTGCACTCCGGAGGATCCTTACCTGAGGATGTTCTGCCGCACCAGCTCAAACTTGGGAATATTCTCATAATGAATAATGTCCGTGTGGAGCGGCGGCTCCGACAGCAGGTAGGGCCTCGTGAGGGACGGATGCATCAGGGTGTATCCTGAAACAGAAACACATCGAATCCGTTATATCCATACACTGCAGATAAGCATATATTGAAGCATACGTTGAATGCATTATATCCACTAAGGACAGAGAGAACAAAGAACAAATACAGTAACTACATACAAGTGCTCTTCTTATTTTCAGAAATGCTTTAAAAAAGTAAGTAAACAAGGAATGCTATCACCAAAGAAGTGGCAAACTGCAAACTTGGTAAACTGCAAACAATAAGTGAATGAATACGGGATCAGAAAAAAAAAGACAAAAAGTAAAAAGCACTTCATACACATACTCCATTTTTGCCTTTTGCCCTACATCCAATAAAAAATCATTTATACATGTAGAAAATCCCTTTCAGTATCAGTCAAGATTTCGATATTAGAGATCCAGTGCAGAAATTTCAAATCTTGAATGCACTTATAGTCTCTAGCTATCTGGCAATCCTTAGGCAAAACTAACTAAACAAGTTGCAATTAATCTTTTAATAAACGTTATAGTTCATTATTTATAGATTAGAGACACGAGAATTAGCAGTTTGCTTTTGATGATCAGTGGGGTAGGAAGAGATCATGTGAACCAAAAAGTTACCTTTATTATCTATGAGAAATGTGTAGGAACCCAAGGAATCTTGATAATAGGTGACATCTTCCAAGATATACGCAAGATTAACATCTACTCCAACAATCCCCAGCAACAGGTTTCCAAAGTAGCAAGGTTTGCTTACAGTCATTATCAGGCCTGCAAGAGACAGAAAGAACACAAAATAGATCAGCAACAACCTGCAGTTAATGAGCACTGGAGGCAGCAGAGCGGGTGCCTTGTGCTTCCATGTGGGGACACGGCATCAGCGATAGGGACAAGGGGACATGTGGGATCACAGGAGGACGACACGGAAGATGGGAGAGGCCTGAGCAGAGCGGGTGCCTTGTGCTTCCATGCGGGGACACGATGGAATCAGCGATAGGGACAAGGTGACACGTGGGATCAGGAGGACAACACGGAAGACGGGAGAGGCCTCGGCACCCACCACTGACCCTTGGGCTTGAGATGTCCAAGCAGCGCTCCCAACACATCCCTGCGGAGCCGCGCCAGAAACTGGGATGCAGGAGGAGCCTGGGCTCCTGTTGAGAGCTCCAGAGATTATCATGGCTGGGTTTTCTTACACTAAGTAGTTAATTTTACTCCTTTGACAGTGACCTAAAATTAATTTCATTTAATCTACATGATTTATTGAAACATACATATATAAAACATATGCAAATAGGAAATGCAGTAGCATGAGAAGTCAAGCTGCTAATTTGTTCCTTTAGCATTGCTGTTTAAGGAAACTCCAAAAGAGAAAGGGAAGGAATTTGGACTTGTAAAGCAGCAATAGGGATGAATTGTTGCTCATCTAATATGTTCAAAATATTAAACCTCCTCTGCTTGACTAGAGCCCAATACAGCCATTGTACTGGGAATTATAAACATAGCCACACAATGATTCAAGAGGGTAGGAAGTCTAGGCAACACTTTATTTCTCTTTGGAAACTCTGTGACCCTTTTCTTTCAAACCTTCTTTCAAATATAATAACTATCCACGTGCTCTCAAACATATCTTGACATTTATGTAAGACAAATCTTCTCTACTGCACCATTTCTAAGGCTCATATTTTCCATTACACTTTGAGAGAGATGGATAAAATAAGAGCTTAATTAGAGATATCTGAAAAATATAAAAGTACCCTGTTGACTCGGAAGAGGGTCCTAACCCACACGGGGGGACCTAATGCTCAAGGCATATATGGCCTTCCTAAACTCAGAAATCCTTGAGAACTATTCAGCATAAGCCTCGAGTGCTACTACAGAATAACTAATAGAAGAATGTGCAAAGTTGCAAGCTAAGAAATACAGAATTTGTTAAACTGTCAAAGCAAAGACAATCACTGCTGTATTTCTCATCTTTGTGATGTTTTTCGCACCTTTTTGGAGAGCATGGGAGCAGAGCTAGAGAAGTCAAGAGAGCTGCTGAACAAGCAGGGCTATAGGGAGCTAACAGATCTGCAGCCCTGAGCTTCCCAGGAAATGCTCTGGGTTTAGGAAGGGCAGGAGGCTGCAGGAGAGAGAAAATCACTGCAACTTGAACGGAGGAAGCCAGAGCATCTGCCAAGAGCAGGGGAACCTGCAAGCGGGTGCTCGTCCAGCCGGGGGAGCTCTGCCAGCACCAGGAAACGCTGAACCCTGCTCCCTTCCTCGCTGCAATGGGCCGTTTTGATTGAAGGGAAACGTGCTAAATGGCCCTTTTCCACTAAATCCAGCTTGTTCCCAGCCTGTCCTCTGTGAATCCCACCTAAATGAACCCGCTTCTTGTCCTGTTATGGCTTTTCTCATAACCAGCCCTTCTGCAGATATAAACCTCACACGTACTGCTGGGGTGACCGGCTATTTTTACATTTGCCTTGGGAATACACTTAAAAGCGTCACCTTTTAAGTCTACAATACTTTGGGACACAGGCAAGCAAAAGGAAACCTAATCTCCACGCTTTTACGCCTAAATTCCGTGTTTCCTAAGCACTTACCATCTCCCATTTCATCCGAGAAAGGCAGGCTGAAAACTGCTTCATCAATCATCCTGTTGGGGAGGTTCGTATAGAACCGCCCCACCGTCGTTTCGAGGTTACTCAGCTGGTTTAAGACCATCATGCTGCCCTTGATCACGGGTAAGGACGTTCGGTCTGGCAGCCCGTACTTCATGGAGTTCTGCTCCGCCAGGTCCCGGAGAAAGGCCAGCTCCTTTAAACCCGTCACTCCCTCTGAGAAAAGGGAAATGTAAGAAATAACACAAGGAAGGAGATAAAAGGAACTTGCTTTCCATCAATATTCCTTCATCTTACTCTGAAGTAAAAGCAAAACGATACATATATTTATACCATAGGATTGAACATATTTAAGCCATCAGGTGAAGTGCTGAACGACTATCCATATATGATAATGACTATTATGGTTTTGTGCTCTTAACCAGCACAAAATTTAACAAGATCTCCTCTTACACACTGTCACACTGTGCAAAAATTCAACATGTTGTTCCCACCATCGCTCTCAACAAAGATTTATGTGACCCATAAATCCCAGGACTGCCGTTCCTGTCCAGGGCTGGTGCACGTGAAGGACTAGGAGCCTGTTATCCAGCCCTGGAGAAAACAGGCTTTGCTCTTTAGCTTGGACATTTGCTGCATGTTTTATGCAAGCTCCAAGCTCAATTCCTGCAGACAAATCAAAGACTTTTGGATATACCAGAGCTCAAATAAGTATTCAAACTTGGAATGAAACGATCCATTAGCTTAAGTATTAGTTTCCTTGGCCAGAGTCCGTGCCACTTTTAGTAATGTAACGTACAGCCCTCTCCCTGGGATTGCTTTCCTGGGAAGGGCACAGGACACCAAGCTGCCGTGTGAGCGATCTGCAAATTTAACCTCCCTCTTAAGTTTGGCCCTGAAGTATGGAAGCCCTTGAGTCCTGTTTGACGTTACGATCCATTAGCTTAAGTATTAGTTTCCTTGGCCAGAGTCCGTGCCACTTTTAGTAATGTAACGTACAGCCCTCTCCCTGGGATTGCTTTCCTGGGAAGGGCACAGGACACCAAGCTGCCGTGTGAGCGATCTGCAAATTTAACCTCCCTCTTAAGTCTGGCCTTGAAGTATGGAAGCCCTTGAGTCCTGTTTGATGTTACACTCATGCTCGCTGGGCACGACTGAGGCAGGTCACACGTGTCCTCTCAGTCTGCAGCACCAGAAGACGCCGTCAGTGTCCGTAGGGCAGTGGGTATCAGCCTGAACTCAGTCTAGCTGCCACTGCACGCTTCAGGCAAGAACATTTTACACCCTGAGCAGCTGCACTTTGATATATAAGCACATACTGACACATGCTTTTTACACCAAAGAGGTAATATTTGAGCCCAAACCCATTAACATCCTCCTCCGGGTAAGGCCAGTCCTAGGAGGAGATGCAGAGGGGGGAACCTCACCACTAGGAACAGGACATTTCTCACCGTTCATGAGCGCGTAGGTGAGAATCATCACCGAGTTGTTGAGGAAGCTGTTCTCTTCGTTGATGACACGCAGAGTGGCCTTTTTATCATCTTCTGAGGAATCTTTCGATGTAATCCCAGCTGAGAGATAAATTATGACCATATCGGTATCTAAGAAAAAAGCCACACACACGGCAGAAAGTACGTTAGGGTTTTAACAGAAGGAGAAACAGGATAAGAGTTCTCACATTTGCTTACAAACCCACACAGGCATGCGCTGCCCACGGCTTTACTTGCAAGAGTCCTGTTTCTACAGGGGATAAACACACTGGAGCCTTGCGAATTTTATTGTTCCTCATTAAACTGTAATTTACAGAATTTCACAGGCAGCTGTTGCTTTCAGCATCTCTCTGCTACCCAGCAAAGCTACTGAGCTCCCAGAGCTGTCCCACCTGCCTTTTGCTGATAAAGAGGTTTTAATGCTGTGACCACTTTGACTTCTGTATTTTGTCCCTAGTGACTTGAAATCACTTTTGGTCAGAACTTTTGAGATAAAGAACTATATGGGACTGTTAACAGGAGGGGTAACGTTAGCTGCACTTTAATTTCAGGAGTTAAAACAAGAAGAAGCAGAAGGCTAGGGCAGTTGTTAATACAGTTCTGGCTGCACTTCTAGGGGAAATATTCATCTTTTTCCCAGCAACAGCATGGTACCATGTTTGTTTTACCTTTTTTTTTAAAAAAAAAAAAAATAAAAGATGAAAGGATTAATTGCAAAAAGGAGATGTGTTTTATAAATATCCTCTTCTCAAACCTATTGCGCCTTATCATATGGATTGTGAAATGTGCTCTGATTCGCACAGCGAATCTTAAAATCTCCCATTCTTACAAAAACAACTAAATGCAAAACATTTGCCTTGTGTTTTAGGTTTCATGTACTTCCCCCTATGTAATCACGCCTCAGAATTGTAGGAAACCTAGTAAAAACATGTGGTTTCATGTTAACGAAGGAAACGCCAAGACTTCCTAATCACAAGGAGCACCAGGTAGATGAGGGATGCAGGAGGATGCTGTAAAACTGCACAGCCAAGGCTCCTGGAATAGCTGCTAATGATTCACACATCCTATCCCACATAATCCAGCACTGTTGATGTGGTGTGTGCTTTCTGGGTTATTTTTTCACTTGTTTTTGCCAGGAAGGTACACCCTTTTCATTGTTTTGCCAGAGGATGGTAAAAATCTGCCCTTAACAAGGCTATCTTTCAGCTAAGCAAGGTACGTGTCTTCTTTCTTTTTTCTTTATACTATGTGCAGTGATCTGAGCTGGTGCCCTTCAGGACAATGAAAAAGCAGTATCAAGCTGTGGGCTCTGCAATGCATCAACAAACTCATGAAAACAATATATATATTTTAATATATATCAGTTAAATGCAAACTCAGCCAGGCCAACCTCACACTCCACAAAACATCACCCATAATTGGTATTCTAAAAAATAAACAAATGCCCCCCCCAATACAAACACACAAAAAAACCCACCAAACAGAACCCCCCTTTCCTCCAGAAGCAGTGACCTTGTCCTTGGGATTGCAGTTAAGCAGACTGCACATAATACATGTATGTTTTGGCAATGAATCAGTGAAGCTGCAGCATGAACTGTTTTTTATTAAAGACCACCACTGATATCCTTCCAATCCTTGGTAAGTAATTCAGCAATGTAGCAACTCGCTGCATTAATTTCATACTACAACTCAAAATGAAGTCCCCAAGTGATATAAAATAGAAGCTAATGTGAAGATTTCAGATCAAGCAAATGCTCCTTAACAAAAACATGTGCATTTATTTTAAATACCCACAGTTACACTACTTTGACCTCTGCCAAAGTGAGAAAATCATACACAAAATTTGCAAACCTCAAAACGAATCAGGATTGCACAACAAGAAACTTACTTCCTTGGAGCTTTGTGCCATTGTTTGTGTTTCGTATCAACTGAAATGTCTTTTGAAATCCCACCGCGTGCTGGGTAGGGCTGTCAGAGGACTTGATGCTGCTGACGAAGGTGGACATCTTCCTTTTTGTCTCGCTGGTGGCGGGGGACAGAAACGTCTTATAGCACTGATCCAGCGAGCAGGTTCTGACTGTGTCTGCCACGGTTAACACAGAGATCTTAAAAGAGAAGAAACTCTATTGGATTACCTTACCATTTATAATTCCTTACGTGCCGATATAGAACACACAATGATAAGCCAATAGAAGAGATTCTGTGGATTTAAAATTCAATTGTTAAAAAATAAATGCCTGGGGCATAAATCCATCAAATTTGATGAGGATTAGACTTATGGTGATTTCAAGAGAGACTTTGCTCTTTGTTTCTCAGATGAAGTCAGCTTCACACTGCTCATATATAATAGCTACTATACTGTGCTGAGCAGAAACCCAAGCAAACTAAAGATATTTCAGAACAAAATCTACACAGAGCACTTTCAGTAAATCCTTGAGAGCCTGCAGAAAAGCAGAGCGCTTGCAGAAAATGAGATACCTAAAGAAATTTTCATAAAGCAACGTGGTTTTTAATGTTTCAGTGAAAATGAGCCAAATCAACCATCAACTTTCACCCTGTAGATTAGTTAAGGCATGCAGTGGTAACACTTGCATTAATGAATATGCATAAGATACTAGTCTTGCTAAGTGTTGGCATACTTTATTATAAATTATGACTCAAGCAAGAAAGTCACAATAATTATTTATCTAATAGGTTTCAAAACCACTAAGTTACTGACCAAGTAATACACTGTATCTTAAATATATTTTCTTTGCTAGAGCTCTACATTCAAATACTTTTGACACTTTAAATACTATCAATTCTGCTAAACTACCAGCACTCTTATACCATATTAAAATGCTCTGAAAGCAACCACGTTAGCTAGAAGTGTTTTGCCATACACTACTAATGGGCTGACTTAAAGCAAAGATTATAATCAACAGCACTTCAGTTAAGTTGATTAAAACTCACTTCCAATTCAAAAGAGGAAAAATAAAGCCCCCACAACCACAGAGGTGCTGAACGTGCAGATGGAGCTGGGGCAGCCTGTGGTCCTATAAAGCACTCTTTCACCCCCTGTGTTGTAATCCCTACTTTAAAAAATTCTGGGTTAAGCTACTTTCTCATTGCCTTATGGAGTATCTGTGGCAGAGCCCGGAAAAGAATCCTGATGTATCCAGGCCTTTGCTTTAACCTTCTCCTGCTGCTATCTCGGTTTTCTGGGAACCTTTCAAACACTAATTATACTTCAGAGTTCCCCGGTATAGCAGGGGAATAAATCATTTCCATTTGCACAGGCTAAAAACAGACAGACTCAGAGGTTAAATGAGCTGCACAAAGCAATCTCCCACCTCAGAGAGAGAACTGCACCTGTATCACAGTGCTGCCCATTACCAAAAGTATCTACCAAGATGAAAAATTACTAAGAAACATGATTTTGCTTTAGATTGGTGGTTTTCCCTTGATTTTTTTTTCAGTTTGTGGATGCCCAAACATTTCCCAGTAGTAATACAGGCTTCCACTAGCAAGTTCAAGCCTTCATCACGCGTTAGAGGTAGACCACGGGTCCCCAGGAGGCCACAGAGCACTTTGCTTTGGATAAAAACTGAAAACACTGGGTATAGTTAAAACCACTGAAAACATGCCCGTGGCTGAGGGAAACGGTACCTTATCGTGTTCGTCGATGGAGCTCAGAATAACCTGAGCTGCATCCTTGGCGATCTGCAGCTGCGTCTCCGTCACCGAGGCCCCGTGGTCCACAATGACAACGATGTGTTTAGACTGAGGTCTGACCGTGGAAACGTAGACAGGCCTGGAGGAGATTTCCACCAAAACGTTACGAGGGAGAGCAGGCAGGAATTAAAAGCACCCCGCAAAGAAACAGTGAATTGCAAAGGGAATTTTTGCCTTCAAGAAAACTCTGTGGGGAAAGGAGAGCTCTGTATGGAAGTTCACACGGGGACAAGCAGGGCTGGAGGACAGCAGGGCACAGCCAGAAGGACCCTGGCTTTCCCGTGTGGTTTTTACCGTCAGGCTCGTGCTCGGGAATGGGCTTAGCCAGGTCGCGCTCCGCAGCCCGGGGGATCCGGGCAGCCTGGAACGGCGCTGCCCATTCCTGGTAGAGTCTGCTAGGGGCTCTTAGTGCTTCCATGTGTGCATTTTTTGCTAACATCAAAACCCATATTTCCAGCGAGGCGGTGTTCAGATATGGTTCAATACTGTGAGGTATGTGCGAAAGGTTTAACAAGTTCTTTTCAAGGTTTCAACATGGAACGAATTAGAAGAATCTTTAACAGGAGGCAGAACTCTCTTTCCCCTTTAGCCCAGACCCTAAAGCTACTTAACTCCACATATGAGTTTTGGGGATCTACATTTTATTATATCAAAGGCAACCACAGCAATCTTATTAAGAGCAAAGGACACGCAGGAGATTTTAGACAAGGCACCGCCATAAACAACTGGCACAAATCAGCCCTTAATTGTAAAAGAGCCTGCAGCTCTGCACGGGTGTTAATACCTAGGACCCAGACAGAGCGTTTGATCTTCAAAGCACTGAAGTATTAGCTAATTAATCCATGCGAACTACCCTCTGAGGGAAACACTAGCAAATAAAATAAAATAAAATAAAGTAAAATAAAATAAAATAAAATAAAATAAAATAAAATAAAGTAAAATAAAATACAGTAAAAGAAAGTAAAAGAAAATAAAATAAATAAGTGATGTAGACAGGCTGAAACTGAGACAAAGATTGAGCGACTTGTACAAACTCTGCTTTGAATGGTCTTATCAGCAGAGAGTTTCCACCACCACAGTCTGTCACGGAGGTGCCAGGGAAGGATGCGGGTCTGGTGGAGCCCGGCACGCGGCTCCTCCGTGTCCCTGCTCGCCGCTGTCCCCTGCCCCTGCCAGCCAAGGCCACCACGCACCTACTGCTTCACACACGCTGCTCAAGGCTGAGCCAAATTCCAGAGACAAACTTGGCCTATGAGCACACCCAGAATTTACAGGGTGCTGCTACATGGAGCTTATTCCATTGATGAGAAGTGGGGAATCAGTGTGCATTTAATTTTTACTTTACAGTTATGTAAAAGCAAGAACTGCTGCTTAAAAAAAAAAAACAAACCTAAAAGAACTCAAGAGACCCTAATAAAGGTTACGTATAACTGCTGTCTTCTTGGCCAGGGATAATGCTGAAAGGAAAACAATGCCTGAGGTTTTATAATCTTTTGGCTTTTCGCTCTTACCTGCTGCGGTGTTCGTAGCTGCCTTTGCACCGGAACTTGTGGGCTGGGAAAACGGTGAAAATGCCTTCTTCGGAGCTGAAGTACTGCCACTTAATCCCCGGGTTGGACTTCAGATTATCCGCAAGAACTGGAGGTTGAAGAGGAAAAAGGGAGTTACCCAAGGGATGACCAAGCTGGAGGGATGTTTATTCCAGGCCTCCCAGATATGTGCTCGGGGAAGATCCAGGGTCCAACACAGGCAGGGCTCTTTGTGGAGCGATAAAACTTCACATCTTGCCTGCAAACAATTAAAGTCTCCTGGAAATATAACACTAGGTCTTGTTTAACCGAGTTTCGCTTAACATGCAATTGCCACCTCGTTGGAGAGATTTCTAAGAATTATGCCCTAAAGATCTCTGCGAAAAAAGGAGGTAATTTGAAGAGCAGATGAGCGCGATGTCTTGCAGGGCATCGTGTCTTCTTGGCGCTTTTGCACCCGTGAGTCAGTGCTGCAGGAACGCCGGGATGACAGAAAACCATGGGAGAAATCCATGGAGTTTTCAGAAAGAAAATAAGCTTACATCATGAAAAATATGTATTTCTTTTACAACGGAAGCTTCTCATTATCGCTGTGCTATAATGAACAGGGCTGTGGGCTGCTCACGTGTCTCCTTTGGAGAATTAGCACCCGCCAGGACAAGCACACAGCACCCTCAACGGGTCGGGCGGTGACTTGGGGCTTCGTTGGGATTCAACCATCTTGACTGGGCATCAATTCCCAGCTCCAGCTTTCAGAATAATTACGAAATTCAGGCAAAATGGAAACATCTGAGTATGGAGCAACATTCCTCCCAGAAAATTCCTCTGCAGCAGGTGAACATTAATAACTCATCATAAAGAGGAAAAAGCAAAGAAAGAGGGAAGCAAAGGACATATCCCGAGTCACCGGAGCAGCCAGGAACAGGGCGCAGCTGCCGGGTAGGGCTGCAGACCTCCTCCACTTCCCAGGCCTAAAACCTACTGACCTTCCCATTAAAACATACAGCTCTGCAAAAAAGAGAAAATTCTTTAAGGAAGCACTGCTCATCACTGCAACATTTAATTAATTAAATTAATTTTAATTAAATTAATTAAGTTAATTAAAAGTTCTAGATTAACTGAAGGTTTAAGGCAGTGTAAGATCAGGTTTGCCCTTTGGTGAGCACGTGCTAGGGACATGGCCTGGCTCCCGGGTTCCCTTCCTGGCTTCCTGTACATGCCCAACATGAGATATTTAAATTCTTTTTGTTTTTCTGCCATTCAAAATGGACCATATCAGCTTTAAGTGCGTATTTAAAAATAAACTCTTTTCCTGCCAGCCCTACCATCACGTTCTTGAACAAACAAGAAAACACCCGGCAAGGCGACCTGCCTGTGCTCAACCACAGGGGAAGTCGCAGCAACGCGCACACAACATCTCACTAATTACACAACTTCCCAGGCTTCCCTATGCTGAATCCAGATCTGTGGGTCTCATTTTAACTCGGGCAGTATTTTTTATTTGTTTTCTGGTCAGGTCCAAGCCATTTTTTGCCAAGGAGAATCAGCACCCTGTTCCCCTACTTCAACACACAGCAGGAAGCATCTTGCATCACTGAGCACGTGTCGTGATTCTGCTTTTCTGGCTCGACATCACACCGCTTGTGGAAGCTAAAACTTACAGGGGTAGAAATCTTAGTGGTATCCATTAATTCCAGGCACAAATTGGGGCTATAAATGGCCGATTGTGACTATTCTTGCTAGCTTGGAGAGCCTCTGTCCCCGTGGTGCCCAGGGCGGCAGCGCTGACCCTGGATTCTGCTGCCCATGGAAGAGAGTTGGGAAGCACCAGCATGGTCCTACGGAAGCGATCTGCCTCTCTGCAATTATAAATATCTAACCAAGGCAAAAAGGACTTTTAGAGAGAAAGCCCTGTGTGACAGAGATCATAAAACTTCAAAGGAAATGTGATATGATAACACTTAGCACTTCTAGATACCACTTTGCATCTTCAAAGCGTAGTCAAATCATTAACTAATTAATCTTCAAAGAACAGCACAAATAGTCAGTAAAAAAAAAAAGGCACTATGGAACATAATTGCTCATTATAAGAGTTTCTTGGAGTCTTCTTGAGCATTACGTTTACAGAGCTGCCGACCACACAGTTCTCACCCGGCAAAAAATTTGAACTTTGTTGTGCCTGATGCATCCCACTGGAGAATATCCATTTAGAAAATCCTCATGGAGATCCCGAGCGCTTCCCAGAAATGCTCTGTGTTGAGCAGAAAGCAAATGTGCTCATTTTACAAGTCAAGACCTTCTCTCTTTAGCTCGCCAGGCCTACAAATCCGACCCAGGCTTTTCTGAAGCAAACTGTATTTCTGGCTCATTTTCCCTGGAAATAAAAGCCTCTGCAACTGAAACCCAATTAAAATTCGACGGAGGGGATTAGCCAGAACAAACCCCAGTTTACTCCTTGGTGGGTCTTTTCACTCTGAAGCGCAAAGGCATTTCCAAATGTCATTTAAACAGCGAGTCCAGCTTCCCCACGCAAGAGGAGCTGAGCAGAGGAGCGTGTTTTGGGGAGGGGGGACGTAACCCCTGTATCTTAACTCACCCAAACACCAACCGGGTGAATAAGGCTCGGACCAAGTCACGGGGAGACTCTGCAGCTCCACAGGCTCCAGGGGAAGGTGACAGACATTTGGGAAGGCAGGAAGAAAGATTTATTGGTTCCTTAGTTGGTTCAAAAGAAATAAATAAGGAATCTGCTACCGTCATGTCCTAGCTCTGTGTAACTGTGGTCTTTTCTCCTTCTCTCTGATAAATGAAGGACTATTTGTACCGGTGGGGACAGCTATCTAACACTGCTTGAAGGCCACCATTTAATCTGAAGATTAGACCCTCACCTTAACTATTCTGCAGTAATGGTTAAAATTAATGCAAATAAAGTTTTAGCTAATACAAAGTGAAAACTTGTCAAGACTTGAAAAAAAAGAACGGAAAAAAAAAAAAGAAAAGAAAAGAAGCGGACAGAGCATTTTTGAAGGGTCAAAACAGAACTGAATCTACTTCTTTGAAAACAGTAGCCCCCAACTAGAGGTGTTCCCAAGGAGCTCCCAACCAGGAGCTCCTTCTCTGTAAGTCCAGGGGGCTCCTGCAACGCGCTGTATCCCGCGGGAATGCCTGCAGACGTGATGTGTGGGAGCACGTGGATTCCCAACCCACCTGCGACTCTGAATGAGCAACGAAAAAGAAGGACCAAAATCCGCAGCAGCACCAGCAACCCGCAGGAGACACTTTAGGGAGGAAAAATAATTTGGACTATGGTAAGCTCAGAATTCAAGGTGCAAGAGGCATCTTGTAATAGATCTTCACTCCACTTTCAAGAGCAGCTTTAGTTTAGAATAACACAGACACACACACACATATATATATACACATACAGCTGGATAGATTTACTTGGAAACAGCTCCTGAGTAGACAAAATGCTCAGTGTTAAGTGCATCCTCTCCAGTTAGGGATCTCACAGAACTGTCACTGCAGAAAGAGCCAGGAAGCAAAACCTGGGAGTTCAGGAGATGGGTGAGACGCAGGGAGCACCATTCCCAAGCTCCTCAAAGCTTCCCTGCTGCCGAGGTGGGTGCTGGGGCCTGAAGACCACCCGGTTTCTGGCCAAAACCGTTTCGTTGTCTCCCTCCACTCCTTGCCTCCCTACAGCCAACTACTGCCTTAGGCTGCGATTTCTCTAGGGCAGGGACTGCTTTCCTGGCTCAAGGGCCAGAGCTGCAGATAACCAGGAGCAGGAGGCTCCTCGCCTGCAAAGCAAACACCCGGCCTGGCTGCATCCGACAGCCCCGAGCCCCGGCACAGGGATGCAAGGAGCCCCATCGCAGGGATGCATGGGATGCATGGAGCCCCAGCACAGGGATGCACGGAGCCCCGGCAGAGGGATGCACGGGATGCACAGGATGCACGGAGCCCCAACACAGGGATGCACAAAGCCCCAGTGCAGGGATGCACGGAGCCTCAGCGCAGGGATGCATGGAATGCATGGAGCCCCAGCGCAGGGATGCACGGGAAGCATGGAGCCCCGGAGCAGGGATGCACGGGATGCACGGCTGCTGCTGCAGTAACCCCCGGCACCAGCAGCCCTCCCTGTCCATAGTTTTTTGCTCTCAACTCCCTCTTCTCTTCCTCTGCCCTTTGCTGCCCACACAACTGCTGCAGCACCCGCTCCTTCAGGTAGGCAGCCCTCCAGCCGCAGGAGAGGAGGGACACAGGGCCCAGCTCCTGCTGCCAGGTCCCACCTAACCGGTAAGTCAGGACAAGAAGACACCTGAACCCTTTGGTTTTGCACAAATTTCCACTCAAATTAAAAGTTGTAAATGTTTAAGTATGCTTAAACATTTGGCTTAGGTTATTTGTTAGGTTATTTGTATCCACTCAAGTAGGATAATTGTTTAATATATTATTTTATAAATATCTTCTGCAGTAGAGAAGGAAAAGTCTGCTTAAAAACATTGAGTTAGGGATTCATCCAGTGCTTTGCTACTATAGCGGTGATTAAAAATTTGCTTTCAAAAACTATTTTTATTAATCATCAATTGCACAATTTTAAACATTATAAGTAACCATTTTTTTCATTTAAAGAGGGAGCTTATGAGTCAAACAAGGTCCAAGGAATAAAAAGGGACCAGAGACTGCTTATCTTTAGCATGGAAAACTCCACACCAATAATAATGCTAACACATATATCAGGCAATTAGCTTGTCTGGCCAGCACCTGCATTCAAGATGTGCTGTACACTGCATGGGATGGAAAGGAACTTGTGAGGGCTGCTTGTTCTGCTCTCTTTGGGGTTTTAATTACGTATTTTAGATGTCATTAAGAGAGTAATTATCTAGAGCTGATGTCAAGCTCTAAGAAGGGATACAGCATCACTAGCCAAAAACATCCCCAAACCTGTGCGAAATGGAGTCCATAATCAGAATCCATAGCGCAGTAAGTTATAAAACACTAAGTCACCATAAAAAGTTAAAACACAAGATAAAACAGCTGGGTAAATTCATGACCAAAAAAAAAAGAAAAAAATCCCTGCATTAAATCAAGTTCACCAGATGTAACGAAAGAAAATCTTGCAGGAGGACCAAACACTGAATTCCTCAGGGATAAGTCATGTGTCTCTGGTTCTAAGATCTCCAGTTTTTTAAGTGTGTCAAGCAAATGGGTCGACTGTCAAGACAGAAACGCCCTGACAAGACAAAGGGAGGAAATATTTTAGGCTGCCCTTTTATTTTGTATTTTTGCGTATCGCTACAAACACAACCTCCCGTTAGCTGAACTCAGCTAGGAAGACCAGAGGAAGTTCTCCGCTTGGAGCCAACGCTCCCAATGCCGGCGCGGGCAGGCCCAACAAGAAAATATCATGGAAGAAAAAAAAAAGTGCAAAAAATGCAACAGAATTATCCACGGTAGGTTGGAATAAATCTTCCTGACATTTTTATAAAGTACTCGGTCTAAGGGCATTACTTTAGGTATCATCTTTCAATCATGAAATCTCAAATTAAGAAGAGTGTGACAGTTGCAAGGAGAGTAAGAGCTTGTTGCTATGACAATCGATGTTAACTCTCTATGCCAAGGAAACATTAAAGTCTAACGGGGAGAAGAAAAAAGAAAAACACAACAAACCTACAACAAAAAAGAGAAAGACACAAAGTTATACTACTCACCAGAATTTAAATCACGCCCGGGATTGAAGGCTCTGCTGTTAACAGTGGTGGACAGTCTATCACAGCTAATAGTTCTAGAAACGTTGGTGTTAAAATTCCCATCAAATCTGAAACGACAAACAACAAGATTAGCAAAGCAAGCTAACGTTATCTGTTGAGCATACACAGGACTTGACACGGAAGCAAATCTTGCTGAAGGTTCAATGAAAAGTCATTATTTATTTGGAAACGCAAACATTATAGATATTTTAAGGGTCCAGGAAAAAACGTGAAATCCAGAGCTCATTGGATCTGGCCTGCATCTGCTCTTCAATGTATCCTGCATTTTTTTTGCAGTAATATTCATTGAGAGGTACAAACATAAGAGTAGGTTGGCTTAGTGTGGATTCAAGTAGTAGAGCTTCTAGCTGGGGAAATCTGCCCCGTGTTGGAGTGTGCCAGAAGGAGTGTTTGTTCCTTTTGAACCAAACTTCTCTAAATACTGAGAACCCTTCAAGCACTAGTGTTTCCTCTCTCCTTATTTTTCTTTTAATATAATTTATTCCAAGTACTGTGCATGAAGAGGATTTCTTCCTTATGCCTTTAGAAAGCAAAAAGTCTAAAAAGTTAGAGTGATTGTAAGCTTATTTTCTGGAGGATTTATGTTTCAATCACGGTAACAAGCTTTATAGTCTGAGCTTCATTACATTTTTATTAGGTAAAACAGTTTAAATATGCTCCTAGTTCTAATGCAAAAAGTATCCGAGTGCAGAATTCTTATGATGATCAAATAAATTAAACCAATGTTTTAACAAGATTTAAGAAAGGGCTTTAAAGGGTTACACATTTGAAGTTTTCAAGGACTTCAGAAATGCAACTCCATATCATTTACATAGGATAATTTTATTTCCTAACGTTTTATTCATCTTGAGCAGTATGGTGACATTTGACTCCCACTCTGATTATTCTGAGCCTTCAAAAACTACTCACTTGACATCAAAAAATTTTTCTACCATTAACCTATTTCTGAGAAATTCCTGAATTTACACGCAGACTCCTGCATGCAGAAGCTGCACACAGCCCAGCCTGGAGGAAGCTCCTTGCTCTCCTTCTCGCACACAAGTTGGCAGGCAGCAAATCCTGGAGCTCGACTGGGCAGACCGGAGGTTTGCTCAGTACTGTCAAGATTAAAACAGCCAAATACACAAAATACAACTCCAGCAGCAGACACTGGCCAACTTATTAATATTAATGGCATACCCACGACTCGCTCAAGATAATGCTGTGCTCACCCAGGCTCTCTCGAGCACATTTTAGCACATGTACATTATGGATGTGCTAAGGGCTCTTTGTTTTCTTGCTTATTGTTAACTGCACATAAACACTTGCTCCACTATCCTTTTTTTTTTCCAGTATTCCAAGAGTGCAAAACCAGCGCTGTTCTCCTGGCTTGCTGAAACTCAGCAATGGAGAAAGGAGAAGACACCGTTTCCCCTTGTGCTCTGCCCGAGCAGTTCCAGACAAGGGAGCAAAACACGGTTAAATTAGGAAAGGCAAAACCTGAGATCGCAGACGCGTGGGAGCGGGTCCTGCGAGGGAGCTGTGAGTTATGGAGCACTAAGCAAGCCTTGTAAAGCAAACTAAATCTCTCCTAACCCAATGGATTTTCGCCGAGTCCAACTGAAAGTAATTCCTTCCTAAAGGAAGGTGGCAGAGTTGCCCCAAGCGGCCGGGGGCTGGATTGGTACGGGTGAAGAAAGCAGCTTCTCCTCTCACAGCTACAAACTCTGCCCTACAAGTCGAAAAGGTCTTTCCCAAGACCTTAGCACCAAATTCCTTAATGATTTTGTCCATTGAGAACAATTAAAATAATAGCCTGCTACACAAATGCACAAAACTCCTCAGCCTGTTTCTCGTTAGGGCTTAAATCAGACTGTACATCCTGACTCCAGCAGAGTCGCGAGAGACCTGGTCTTGCA